ACCTTATCCTTCGGGGTCAACCAGTTCAACAATAGAGTTTGGAGTCAACCTGTTCAACCTCCTCAGGGGTTAACCTGTTCAACCTTATCCTTCGGGGTCAACCTGTTCAACAATAGAGTTTGATGTCAACCTGTTCAACTTCCTCAGGGGTCAACCTGTTCAACCTTATTCTTCAGGGTCAACCTGTTCAATATTAGAGCTTGGAGTCAACCTGTTCAACCATCTCCAGGGTCAACCTGTTCAACCTTATCCTTCGGGGTCAACCAGTTCAACAATAGAGTTTGGAGTCAACCTGTTCAACTTCCTCAGGGATCAACCTGTTCAATTTTATTCTTCATGGTCAACCTGTTCAACCAATTCTATTCCATTCTGTTCCATTCTATTCTATTCTATTCTATTCTATTCTATTCTATTCTATTCTATTCTAATGTATTCTATTCTATTCTATTCTATTATATTCTATTCTATTCTATTCTATTCCATTCTGTTCCATTCTATTCTATTCTATTCTATTATATTCTATTCTATTCTATTCTATTCTATTCTATTCTATTCTATTCCATTCTGGTCCATTCTATTCTATTCTATTCTATTATATTCTATTCTATTCTAGAGTCGGCAAAGCTGTTATTTCCTGTAGAACAGATCTAAACTGTTCAGGGTAAGTCCATTAATGTTACAAAGAAATTTAGTCTTTGAAACAAACTCAAATTTTTAAATTCCTATATCTTTGCAATTCAATGTAGTGGACCATAGGTATTTTAAACTATGAATTCTGTTAGATCAAATAATATGTTTATATGATCAAATGTTTACACCATCAGGTTGCAAAGATACAGAATTAATTACATTTTTTAATAGTGACGGGACTTTCGACGACTGTGCAGTACAGTACAGTACAGTACAGTACAATATAGTGGAGTTATAGTCTATTATAACTTATTGAGGAAATTATTTTTTTACTCTAAATTTTACTTTTTTTCAGGAATATGTTTATATGCTGTTCAGTTACCAGATCAGCAGGAAAATATTTTACCATCTCTTATCTCTTTGTTAGGTCTGACATCCTTAAAGAGACCGTTCACTTATTTGGGTAATTTCATGGTAAACTAAACAGTCTATTATTAGCTGTTCATTGGTATTATTAGTCTTACTTTTCAAAGACAACTGTGGGTGGCCTGAGAAAAAGCCGTTCATTCAGAATTCCAGCGCAAAGGTATGATACCTTTGCATTTACACTATTTGATGCTTTTGTCATAGTCATGGATTTAAAAAAAAATGTTCAAATATTAAATTAATTTGTAGTATCTAATAGTTAATTGTAGATATCTTTAATTCTTTTCAATTTTCTTTTTAAATTGTCAATTTTCAAAATATTACTTATTTTAAACATTTGACTGTTTGATACGTTTTCTCTACTTCCCTAGGAATCCCCCTGACTTATTGGAAGAATCTAGGAACTGGTTTGTCTGAGAGAGAAAGTCGTTTTTGTATAAACATGTTAAATTGTTAAATCATGCTGGAACACGAAATTTCTTGCTATATTTCATATTTTATTATAATGTCTGACACATTATTTCATTAAAATATGATAATTATTGATTTTATTGGACTGTTGTTACTGAAAAAAACGTTCAAATATTGTCTATGCAAAGTTAATCGTACCTCTCCGCTGGAATTCTAAACGATAAATCGGCTTTTTCTCCGGTCATAGATATCTTTGAAAAGCAAGACTAATACCAATGAATAGCTATAAATAGGCTAATTAGTTTACTACGGAATTACCCAAATAAGTGAACGGTCCCTTTAAAATTTTTCTTAGAGGGAATATAAGCATAATTTCAAGTGACCCATTTAAAACTGTACCCTGCAACCCTTCGACTGTTTACAGTGGTAGGCCATTATATTGATTCAATGAAGACGACTTTTTATGTAAGTTTTGATTGTTAACAAGCTTTTTACGAATTACAAGTTTACAAGTAAACAAAGAGAAGCTTTTTTAAATTGACAGCTTCTCTTGACTTATATGTTAATGTGTATCCATGCCGTTTAACTGCAATTAATAAAAATCAAAATCGAAAGTCGTCATCATTGTATTGATATAATCGCCTACCACTGTAGATACCAAATATTTCACGTCAAAGTGGGCTTAAGAATTTCGAAAGAAAATATTCATTTTCTACCACTTCTATAAACTAGATAATAATAATAATATTTCTTAAATATGAAAGTACTTGAAAACAAATGGATCAACAATTACAAGCGTTTCTGTACAAGCGTTACAAGCGTTACAAACGTTACAAGCGTTACAAACGTTACAAGTGTTGCAAACGTTACAAGCGTTACAAACGTTACAAGCGTTCCAAATGTTCCAAGCGTTGCAAGCATTACACATGTTACAAGCGTTACAAGCTTTACAAGTGTTACAAGCGTTAAAAGGGTTACAAGCGTTACAAGCATTACAAGTGTTACAAGCGTTACAAGCGTTACAAGCATTACAAGTATTACAAGCGTTACAATTGTTACAATTGATACAAGCGTTACAAGCGCGTTTCAGACGTTACAAGTGTTACAAGTGTTACAAGCCTTACAAACATTAGAAGCTTTACAAGCGTTACAAGCGTTACAAGCATTACAAGTGTTACAAACGTTACAAGTGTTACAAGTGTTACAAGTGTTACAAGCATAAGTTGGACATCATTGATCAATTACAAGTTCCAAGTTCCAAGGGAACTGTTGTGAATCTGAATCTGAATCTGTTGTGAATCTTAAAATGAAGGTTCACTTAAAGTTACTCCTAACAAGCACTGAACTAATGAATTCATTAAACCCCCAAAAACAAAAAACATAATTTTTGGTAACATTTTTGATTTAGAAGCTTGTTCTTCTGAAGGATTGGATTGTCAACATGTTGCATTATCTATCAGGAATTTTACTTCAATTTTACTAATTTACCCAACAAACCATAAAACGTTATTTATACGTAAAAATGATGTTTGAATTAGTAGATATAATAGAATTAATGATCAGTTTTTCTAATATTTGAATAAATGGTGCCCAGGGGCAAGGGTAAGGTTCAAATCTCTGACAATGTGATAAAACTTTGTGATATTGGTATTCAAGCACTGGACCAGTCCACACCAATAATCAGGTATAAAAAAGAAAAAGAAAACTTTTTTTAAACATTTTTTGACGGTGTATAATTTCTAAGTAACAGCATAAATTCAGTTGTAAAATTTCACCAGAAGGGATGGTACATATTTGTAATAACCCGGAAGTAAAATGTATCAAACATCTTAATGTTGAAAAATAAGCAGTCAATCTTATTCAGTTCTTGGTTTCAGGAACTTTTATTGAAAAGACGATATTATGAAGATTTCAAAAAAAATCTGCAAACAAATTAGAAAAATAAAATTCAATACAATGATAATAAAGAAATGATTTATTAACTAAATTCTATTGAGAAATATGTTCTTAAACAACAAATTTGTTTACTGTAGAATTTTTGACAAATTTTTTATTCAGGTTATTAAAAAAAAGTTTCTTCTGAAAACCTTCCCTTTCTTTTCTGATGACATTTTACAAACAAATTTAACCTCTTGTATACTGACAAAACATCTCATCAAATGAATCCTAAAACTTTTCTCTATAATACTGTTACCCAGCTGGTCCCTCCATTTAAAAAAGGGTTTTTATTTAAACAGCTCAAAACTTTAAATCCGGTTTTGTCCAGGAGTAATATTATGGATAATATGCTCCTGTGCTGCCTCCTGGTGGAGGGATCTGGAACTAAACCCAGCATTGTTAACAATGTCTTAAGTGGTGGGTCACAAGAATCACAGGTTAGAAAAGTTTAAAAATTTTAATAACACCTTTGTATTAATTAAAAGATATATCATTTATCCACTTGAGTATCTATTATATCACCAAAATATTGATGCTGTTTTACAGTTTGTTAAAAAAATTATTTTAAACTTCATACCTATTTAAAGACAATGTCTAAACAAACAGCCTGCCAAAAAAGTAAGAAAAATTACATGATTGTTTAAGTAGTATATTTTTGACAATGACATAAATTACAGATATTTGGAATTTTTTGAAACATTTACAACTTTAACATATAGACTGGCGCGGCTGGAGGGGTTGGTCTTCTTTGTCTAGATGAAGCTGGAGGTCTTGTTGGCAAGAATATATTTCAGGTATTATCAAGGTGTTATTCAATCGTAACAAAGAAGTATATTTGCTTAGGACTGGGCAGTGTTCCTACTTTTTAAAAACCATTCGTTTCATTTTGTTCCATTTGTTCAATTCACCGACATAGGGTCAAACTTCCTAGGGTTAAATAACAAACGTTTAAAAACTCAACAAACCGTAAAACGACAAAGGTTCATAAATTGCGACAATCAGGCAAATTTTATTTAGACTATTTTTGGTTAATTTGAACTATTTCTATGTTCATTAGAACTAGTAGTCCCAGCACTCACTCAGCCCCCTAGCCTGTCCTAGCTGCAGCACTTGGATTAGAAATTGTCTTAACCTAACCTAATCCTGAAATAATACATATTTTTATGTTATGTTTTATGTTCATTTTAACTACTAGCAACAGCGCTCGGCCCACTGGCCTATCCTAGTTGCAGCACTTGGCCAGTAAATTCTCTAAACCTAACCTGAAATAATACATAAAATATTTTTTTCCATTTTGACACTTATGTCCTTTTACCCTTTGTCGCATTTTTGAACATTTGTCCTTTGACCCTATGTCGTTTGACCCTAGGTTGTTTGACCCAAGGTGGTTTGACTAGGTCGTTTGACCCTATTTCGGTGAACCATTTGTTCCCATGAAAGAACAATCATTACCCAGGAACAATGCCCAGCCCTGAGGGCTGGACATGTTTCTATTTTTTTAAAATTGGTTGTTCCATTCAGTCCTAGTGAAAGAATAATCATTCCCCAGAAACAATGGCCAGCCCTTGGGGCTGGACGTGTTCCTACTTTTTTGAAATTGTTCGTTCCCCTGAATGAACAATCGTTCCCCAGGATATGCTGACCAGCTTACTTTTACTTTTATGTACATGCTGGAAATTTGGACCAGGCACAACCCACACACTAATCATGATTTTATAAATTGGCCACAGAAGGAAAATTTATTTAGCAAGTACTTGCAATGAACTAATTTCTCTCATTCTTGCATTTGCATCCTTCTTGGAACATAAATGCTAACAGGAACATGGGATGATGTCATACATGTGGTATTTGTGTTGCTCAGAATTATGCTGGAATTTTGCTTTTTTGTTGGTTTATGTCCATCAATCAACATTAAAATCACAATCATTTAACACAGTTGTGAATTTTTTGTGCTTAAAGTGAAAAACAGTGATTTAATTTGTTGGATAAAAGGATCTTCTGTTGAAATAAACCTAAATTTGTGAAAATGTTATGCATCTATTTTGTATGAAAAATAGCCAATAATTTGTAATGACACTTTTCAGATGTAGTCAAATCTGTTTTTTCAAGTGCTACAAAGTGTCATTTTAGGCAGTGAAAGGGGCAGGATACCAAATATATCCAATAGAAAGCGTTACAAATTTAAGTAATATCGTTTTTTGTTTCATCATAAGTAAAGAAATAATTTTGCATAAATTTATGCATTTATAATCCGTTAACTCGTCAATTGATTTGTGGAGATTTGGTTTAAAAAGTATGAATCATTAAATGCCTTTTTCATTAGAGAAGACAACATTTGTTTCAATCTTTATTAGACCAAACAAAGTGCATGGAATTTGCTTAGATTTTCCGATGCAGCATCTTTATGTAGAGAGTCTTAGATAAACCTAAATTCTCATGCACAATAAATGCGCCAAATTTTTTGGGATACGTTGTGTTTGGCTAAGACCTTTTCTGGTCAAGATCGTTTATTGCATTGATTATTGATTGATCAAAGAGGTTATTGATTGATTGGCTTGATACTATGCTAATTGACTAGATGATTTGTTAAACAATCAACTACATGACTTGTTAATAAACTAGATGATTTGTTAATCAACTAGATGATTTGTTACGTTAATACATGAATAGTAATATTGCTTAATGATTGTTTGATGGTTTAATTGACAAAATGAATTGTAATATTTCTTGATGATTGATTGACAAGATGAATTGTAATATTTCTTGACAATTGATTGATTGAAACGATGAATTGTAATACTACTTAATGATTAATTGATTGATTTACTATATAAATTGTTGAATTACTCGGTAATTGAGTTATTGATTGCAAATATGAATTTTAGAACTACTTGATGATTGATTGATTGATTGAATAGATGATTCAGAAACATTCCTTGATTATTTGATTGATTGATTAGATGAATTGAAATATTACTTGACTAATTGACAAGGAATGTAATGTTCAGGTTGCAAAAGAGAGTATGTTCTATCTGGTAGAGAGTGAGGAAAGAGAGAATGCATTATCTGACCTTATCCTTCGGGGTCAACCTGTTCAACATTAGAGTTTGGAGTCAACCTGTTCAACCTCCTCAGGGGTCAACCTGTTCAACTTTATTCTTAATGGTCGACCTGTTCAATCTTTGAGCTTGGAATCAACCTGTTAAACCTCCTCTGGGGTCAACTTGTTCATCCTTAGAGTTTGGGGTCAACAATTTAACCTTAGACATTGAGGTTAACCCACTTAACCTTAGACAATAAGTGAATTCCGCTCAATCTTAGACTGACCTGATTCACTTCAGGCTTTCATCTGCTCAGCCTTAGATTTGGTTCAACTTGCTCAACCTTTAATTTCAAGGCTTTCCCACTCATCATT